AGAGAGAGAGAGAGAGAGAGAGAGAGAGAGAGAGAGAGAGAGAGAGATAGAGAGAGATAGAGAGAGAGAGAGAGAGAGAGAGAGAGAGAGAGATAGAGAGAAATTGTCCCCAGTGGGGTTACAGTGACACAATGACCTCTATTTTCCCTCATTCCACTGAAGATGACTGCTATCATCAGATGTAGCCCCCATTGCTCTGCCACCAACACCCCCTCCTTCCTGTAGAGGGATGGACGCTGCATCATTGCCCCCTGGGGGGTTACTGTGGGGTCAGATTTAGCCAGTGACAGCACCATTACTCCTGAAGATGTGGGTGGATTCTGTTTGCAGTCGTTCAGATTTATCTCCCGCTGAGGCAGAGTCATGCTGACAAAACTGTGTCTTTACACAGATTCACGGGGAGATTGGTGAAATAATGTCTCTGCAGCAGCAGCTCGTCTGTTTCTTATAACTTCTGCTGCTGACAGACCTTTCCAAGCAAGTTGCTCCACATTTCCTTTCATATCAGCAAAGACTAAAATAACGATGGGAAAGAATGTCTCAGAAATGTTAAGAGGAGAAGATGGAAATCTACCCACGCAGGTAAGGAGCAAGCTTTTTCTGGTGCTCCGAGAGGTTGAGGCACATTACCAATCACAAAGGACGACAAGCTGCCAAGAACACCCAGTGAGTGATACAAAGGCCTCCTCCTCTCCTGTTTGCAATCCCTCTGCCTGCCTACAGCATAAACTCCCTGAATCTGAGCAGCCAAACGCCCCCACACCATGCGTCTTGGTTAGATTTGAATAAAAAGTTGAATTTTTTATTCGAGCGAACACTGAATCCTCTGTGGGCCATCTCCGTTTAGCTATGCCCACACTTGTTTCTGACTCGCAGATGCAAAGACTCAGTGATACTTGCAGTAAAAAAGTCAAAGTGTCTTCCATTCCCGTGAAGAATAATTTCATCAATCTACATTCTTTCTTCTCCGTATCCCCGTGATTCACGTCTATATCTAATTTTAACTCGGCTGCAGTCGTCATCACAGAGGATGAAAACGCTTCACTGTTGGTGCACTCCACTTAAAAGATCTTGTTAGTCAGCTTGTCGCAAGGGAATCCAGCGCTTACAAAGTTTGCCAGTGCAAGAAAGCTGCCGATTCTGTACAATTCATCTAATGTGAAAGCGTTGAAACAACAGCCCCTTTATTCAGGCCTTTCTCGCTCGCTGGTTTTGAAGTAAGCAGGTGAAGAAATCTCATTTTACCCACTTGTGTGGCAGCAGAGACGGCTAAATTTAATTCACTGAGCTAACACAGGGTGCATCAGCAGGCTTCTGTTTCTTTCTAACCTCGCACTGGAAATATCGAAGTCACACGAACCTTCAAAACTCAGTGAATGCAGCAACCATTGAAGAGAAACCAGTGAGAACTGTCTCAGAGTGCTGGGCCACATGGTGCCAGAACTGCTCCAGTTTTCATTTTACTGGAGTTAAACACTACTGATGGAACAAATATCAAAGTCCATCCATCCATCCATCCATCCATCCGTCCGTCCGTCCGTCCGTCCGTCCGTCCGTCCGTCCGTCCATCCATCTGTCCGTCCATTTTTCCGTCCATCTGTCCAACCATCCATCCATCCTTCCATCCATCCATCCGTCCGTCCGTCCGTCCGTCCGTCCGTCCGTCCATCCATCCATCCATCCATCAATCCATCCCTTTGTCCATGCATCCATCCATCCATCCATCCATCCATCCATCCATCCATCCATCCATCCATCCATCCATCCATCCATCCATCCATCCCAGGCCAGAGACGATAAATATTTCCAACAGCAAGTTCTAGGTCTTGGGCTCCTCTTCCCATGGAACATGCCTGGAAAACGTCCAAAGGGAGGTACCCAGGAGGCATCCTGATGAGATGCCTGAACCACGAAGCTGATTGCTTTCAATGGGGAGGAGTGATGTCTCTTAGCTGTGCAGATGATGGAACTTCTCACTTTCTCTCTAAGGCTGAGCCTGGCCACCTTACAGAGGGAGCTCATTTCACATGCTGTAATCCAGGATCTTGTTTTTCAGTCAGAATCTATACTAACAATGACAGGTGAGGGATCGACTATAGACCAGCTAGTAATTTGAGAGCTTTGCCTTTCAGCTCATTCTGCAGACTGGAGCAACACCCTGAATACTGTGAACAAGGCTCCGTTCCTTTGATTCATCACCTGCTCTCCTATGAACAGAACTCCCAAATATTTAAACTTCTACTCTTGAGAGGCAAAGACTCACCCTCTTGGACAGTTGTGTCCAGTCCTGGTCCTGCAGTTGTTTTGATGGTTCCCTGCTCTATCTCATTGGATTTGAATACTTGGGTGATGAACATGTTTCTTCAGAACTTAGACATGCTGAAAAGATCATTTAACCATGTCAATATGTAAAATGAAATGGGTTGGAGCAGAGGCACACTTAAGATGTTCAGTATAGTGAAACTTGAGGACCAGGATTCGATACCTTGCTGCTGTCACTATGAATTAAAAAAAAACTTCTGTTTTTAGATGTTTCAATGACGATGGTGACATTTTCTGCCTATCTTGTGATTCACACCATTTTCTTACTTAAACCTATTTAGACTCTGTGGATGTGAACATCTTTGGAGGAGATTTCTCCTGTCAGGATTGAAATGTATAATGTTATAATGTTATAATTTTTAGTCGTTTAGACACTTGTAAAAACTGCAGTTAATGCACATCTTTTTTCTGTTCTTTGCAGAATCAGTAACATTGCCACAAATTGTGAAAAAAGGTGCAAGATATTACAAAACGAGGGTACTTTATATTCAAACTTTACGTACTGTTTATCACTGAAGTTTTTCATCATGATTCTCCAAACTTATCTTAAAACTTTTTGTTTTCACTGATTTTTCCACACGAGTAAACAAACGCTGAAATCGATGGTTGAGAAAACAGAAAAACATTCATACATATACAATGTTCCTTTCAGCAGCATTGCTTTTAAATA